TAGGACATAAGAAAAAATTGAAAACTGCTATCAGTGGGATTAAATCTAATAAGTCCAACATGAAGACTTTTCCAAGCAGTGTCTTGTGTTGTTTCTTTTGTACAGTGAGTTGAATAAGTGACTTAATCTTTCTGAGTTAAGATTTCTCAGCTGTACAATGGAAGGAAATAATGCTTAATTGATGGAGGTTACATGAGAGAATAAATATAAAATGGCTGTGACAGTATTTTGTACATATTAGTGCAGTAACTATTCATTTTCTGACTTTGACTATTTTACTTTCTATTATTCTCCTTTTTGTGTCCTCACTTTAGCCTAACTGCTGTCCATATTGTCTAAAATAGGCTTTGAATGTTTCACCTCTACTCTTTTGTTCTATCATCCTCTATGTATTGTCTTTCACAGCTCATCTTAACTGATTCCTGCCCATTCTTCAGAACCTAGTCCTAGTGCCACCTTCTCCACAAAGTCTTCTTGACCACTGCAGCACTCAGCAATATCCTTATAAGTCTGTAGTCTCTGACCTTTCCTCAGGACATAGCTTCATGCGTTTTTCATAGTGGGAACTCGGACTAGCTTACAGAATGAAAGGAGAAAAGATCCAATGGCAGTGGCACCATTGGGAATGAATAAGCTCCTGTCTACAACTTAGTTGGCTATGGCCATGGCATTCATTAACACTCTCCCTATGCTACCCCCCAACTCCCTGAAATGTTCAAATATCCTCCTCCCCTCTTTTCTTAAAGGATACTATTTTTATTCCTTAGATACAAACGTTGAGTTGAATGGAAGAAATCAAAAGGCAGCTGATAATGGCAAAACAATATTTTCCTTCTATGGCATGGTGATTTATCCATTCCTGATCTGTAGGAACTTTCATGATTCTATTAAATTAAATTGAACAAAATTGAATACGTATCTGCCATTTGAAATAAATATCAATTAGCAAGTATTGTTACTTTTCTAGATTGAACTATATTGAGACACTATTTCTGTTTCTAGTCACCAGCTGGCCATGGATGTGGAGAATAATATTGAAAACTATCACCTCAATCTGCGGCCATTGGAATCAAAGGTCAAAATGTAAGTTATTTCAAAGTTTACATTAATGCATCACTTTGTCAGTTATTATTTTATGAACTCTGGGCTTCTCTGTATTTTTTGAGTGCAAGAATTGTACAGCTATGTATTTCACATTCTGTATTATACATTATTTCCTTCTTGTTCTAGGTGATAAGAAAGCTACTTTGGGCAGACAGCACCATCTACTGGATAATGCAGGGAATTATTTGATAGCCATCTCTCCACCATTTCTGGCTTTTCCCCTTCAGGCAAACTATGGTTCTTCAAATTCCAATAACATTTTTCACTATCTTTCATTTTAGCAGCTTGGCTATTTCTACTTCAGGTCATCTCCTTATTATACTCAAATCCTTTTAAACCCTCCTCCTTTTTCCTATTTTTGTTCCAGTTCTTGTCTACTTATCTCAGAAAAAAATTTTTTTTTTTTTTTTATCTCTTTCTTTTTCTTTCTTATCCTCTCTTAATAAGACCGTATGTGAACCCCCTTCCATCAATATAAATGTTGACTTCATAAAAGTAATGCTAAAAATCCCTCAATATTAAGAAAAATGAAACCAGTAAGACCTAAAAGTGAAATAGCTATTATGGAATACATTATCAATCCTTTGAAGCCATTTTTAAATAGGAAAGGGGCCTATCAGAGTCACCTGGGAAGTAATTTCAGCCTGCACATGGCTGTAGTCTGTGTTCTATTCCCATTTTTGTTTTCCTTCCCTGCAGGGATGCTCATAAAAA